AAACGGACCCTCCCTCAATCAGGACATCCAGTGGCACAACTCAATAGAGTGCAGGGTGCGGGTGGAGTTCTGAGATGCAGCTCGGGCTGTACCACTGCGTGGCTTCCTCATCACTGGGAGCCCCACCCTGTGCACTGTGGTCTTCTCACCTGCCTAAACTAGCAGTGGTTTTGTAACTCAGTTGTGCTCTAGAAACCCTCCTGTTTCCCTTGAAAGCCAAGGCAATGAATGGTAGCCTCCCAGGCGGTGGCTTTACCTTCTCTCTCCAGGCTCCCATGAAAGAGGCACCTGGCTCATTCCTCACTCATTTCCCACCTCCTGCTTTGTGAAGTTCTCACCATGAAGCCCTGGAAGAGCCTCATGAGCTCCTGGCTGATGGATTCCACCCATCCTGCTGTGCTAAGGAGGCTGGTGTCTGTTGACGATGGGCTTTCTCACAGGACGGGGTGAAAAGCTCATTCCAGCCTAGAAAGGAGGTTTGTGGGGGGCGGAGGGCGGGGATTGTAATAGGATGATGGCCAGACCAAGAAGGAACAGGTCATCAGACTTGGGGATTATTTCCCATGAACATGCCGTATGACTTGAGGCAAACCACCTGGCCACTCTGTTCCCCTATGCTAGGGGCATTATCTTAGTTGTCTATTGCTGTGTCATAAATTATCCCAAAAGGTAGTGACTTGAAAGAACCACATTTGTTATCTCAGTTTCTGTGGGTTAGGAATTGGGCTAGGTTCCTTGCTAGGTTCCACATGTCAGGGTCTTCCAGAGGTTGCAATCAAGGTGTCAGCTGGGGCTGTGGTCTTATCTCAAGGCTGGACTGGGGAAGGTTCCACATCCAAGCTCACTCCCATGCTTGTTGGCAGAACTCAGTTCTTTGCTGGCTGTTGGCTGGCAGCCACCCTCACTCACCCATGGGTCTTTCCAGCATGGTGGCTTGCTTCAACAAAGCATGCAAGCCAGAAGGACAATAACAGTACCAGGAGCAAGGACGTCGCAGTCTTTTGTAACCTAACCGTGGAAGTGACACCCATCACTCTTTCTGCATGCTCTTCTTTAGAACCAAGTCTCTAGGTTCAGCCCACACTCAAGGGTGTGATACCAGGAGATGGGGATCATTGAGGGTCATCCTTGGAACATCCTCCTATGGGCACTAACAGGGTTTCTGGTGGAGTGGGAGGAGACTGAGTTTGGCCCCATTTCAGCTGCTCATTTGCTCCATAAACCTTATTCTGCATTCACTGTGCCCAGGGCTGTGCTCACCGGGTTTCATAGTAGTACTTCTTTTGACAAGATACTGAGTTGATATCCCCCACGAGAAGAAGATGGAAAGGACCATCCTCAGGCTTCCTTGTGCACATTATTTCAGCCCTGGCCTACAGCAAGGGAAATTCACCCTGATGTCTAACTGCAATCCCTTGAGCTTCTTTTGAGTTCTGTCCCTTTCAGTCTTACTCCTAGGAGAGTTGGGAAGTCTGTTACTCCTACTATTGTCAAATGGGAAGATAAATTGAGGTCCAGAGAGGTTGAAAAAACTGTCGCAGTCACACAGCACGAAGCCAGGGCTTCACTGGGCAGGGAGTACAGGTCTTGGTCCAGCGATGGACCCTGCTTCCTCCATCCTGGTGTGGAGACCCCACTGCTAGAAGTGAAAAGATGTCAAGAAGAAAGCTATCAGTTAGGAGAAAGAGGATAGATAATCCAGAAAAAGTGTTGGATGGTGTCCAAGCGATGATTTTTGCTCAACCTCAGTTACCACCTAAGTAACCATTTAGGAAATGGAAAAAGCAGGGTATGTGTTGGTGTGGGGTGGAGGGGCAGGCAACATGATTCAAGGCTTTGAACTTGAGGGCCTGGGGTCCCTCCCACTTTGGGAGGCTGAGGCAGGAGGATCACTTGAGGCCAAGAGTTTGAGACCAGCCTGGACGACATAGCAAGACCCCATCTCTAAAAAAAAAAAAAAAAATACAAAAATTAGCCAGGGATGGTGGCATGTACCTGTAGTCCCAGCTACTCAGGAGGCTGAGGCAGAAGGATTGCTTAGGCCCAGGAGTTGGAGGCTGCAGTGAGTTATGATTGCACCATTGCACTCCACCCTGGGAGTGGTGGAGCAACACCCAGCAGGCCTGCTACTGGCTTGCTAGGTCTTCAGCTCTGGAAGTGGGCTGGATGGGGTCTGGGTACTGGCTGCAGAAGAGTGGGGGCTGGGCTCTGCTGACCTGTCTTCCACCTGCCCCTGCTTCTTCGATGCTCAAGCTGAACCCCAGCACCTCCTGGAGTGGAGGGCTCAGGTGATCCCTTTGCCTCCTCAACAGGACTATTTTTTTTTTCTTTAAATTGAGTCTCACTCTGTTGCCCAGGCTGGAGTGCAGTGGCACGATCTCGACTCACTGCAACCTCCACCTCCCAGGTTCAAGAGATTCTCATGCCTCAGCCTCCTGAGTAGGTGGGATTACAGGTGCCTGCCACCATGCTCGCCTAATTTTTGTATTTTTAGTACAGACAGGGTTTCACCATGTTGGCCAGACTGGTCTCGAACTCCTCACCTCAAGTGATCCAGCCACCTCCACCTCCCAGAGTGCTGGGATTACAGGCGTGAGCCACAGTGCCCGGCCCCCACAGGGGACTTCTACAGAACAGGGCTTCTGGGGGAGTTGCCTAGAGGACCTACCGCTTTGGGGCAAGCTCTCTGCCTTTCCGTTTCCTGTTCAACAGTCATACCACTGAGGAGGACAGACAGAGAGCAAGAAGGTAGAGCATGTTTGGTTCAGGAGTCGGGCCGTGTGTGTGTGTGTGTGTGTGTGTGTGTATGTGTGTGTCTGTGTGTCTGTGTGTCCGTATGTTTGTACATGTTGTGTTTTGGTTTGTATGCATGGCTGTCTTGGGAACTGAGCAGATGATAGGATTCAGGCTGTCTCCCTTCTCCAGTGGCTACATTGTCCCATCTACGCATGATCTTCTTTGTCCCCATCCCCTCCATTCCTGCCTTTGGGCCGTCTTTTTCCTTTTCCTCCTGCAAGTGGTCTCTCTTCTCCTGACCTACTCCAATCACTGGGGTCCCATCCATGCCTATCCCCCAGAAAGAAAGTCCATTTAAAATTGAACTTTAAAGGCTAGGTGTGGTGGTTCAGACCTGTAACCCCAGTACTTTGGGAGGCTGAGGTGGGAGGATTGCATGAGGCCAGCAGTTCGAGACCAGCCTGGACAACATAGCAAGACCCCACCCATCTCTACAAAAAATACAAAAATTAGCCAGGCGTGGTGGCGTGCCTATAGTTCAAGCTACTCAGGAGGCTGAAGCAGGAGGATTGCTTAAGCACAGAAGTTGGAAGCTGCAGTGAGCTATAATCGTGCCACTGTACTCCATCCTGGGCAACAGAGCAACACCCTGTCAAAACAACAACAACAACAACAACTGAATTTAAATTAAAATTAAATAAAGTTAAAAAATTCAATTCCTTATTCACACTAATCACATTTCAAGAGCTCAGTATCCACATGTGGCTAGGGTCCACCATATCAGACAATGTAGCACAGAACATCTCCCTTGCTCTAGAAAGTTCTATTGGACAGTGCTGGTGGAAGTTTCCAGGCTGCTGCTGTCACTTGTCTTCGCTTCTCTCTAGCCCAGGCTCTCCATGGGGAAGTTCACCCAGCTTCATGTTCTCCGGTCCTGAGCACGGTTTCATTGTCTCTTCTCCGCAGAGGTGGGACCCCCAGCGCAGTCCCACAGCCAAGCCACCGTCACAGCTCAGCTTGCTGCCTTCATTTCCCAGGGCTGCTATCACAAATTACTACAAACTGCGTGGCTACAGAGAACAGAAGTTTATTCCCTCACAGCTTTGGGGGCCTGAAGTTCCAAATCAAGGTTGCTCTTCCTGGAGGCTCTGAGAGAGGCTCTGTCCCCTGCCACTCTCCCGGTTCCGGGGGACTGTCAGCAATCTTTGGCGTCCCTCAGCTTGTACCCGCATCGCTGCCATCTCTGCCTCCGTCTCCACATGGCCTTCTGCCCTGCATGTCTCCGTGTCTCAAACCTCCCTCTCCTTTCTCTTACGAGGAGATCAGTCATTGGATTTCAGTGTCACCCTAAATCCAGGATGATCTCATCTTAAGATCCTTAACTTCATTACGCCTGCGAAGACCCTATTTCCTAATAATATCACACGCCCACCAAGGCTTAGGACTTGAACATATCTTTCTGGGGAACACCATCCAATCCGCTCCGTGTGGATTCACTACTCTTGCCCCCTCCAATCTCATCTTACACAGCCGCCTAGAGGTTATCCCGAAATTCCAATCAGCATGTCATTCCCTGTTTCACCCCCCCCGCCCCCCACCCCATGGCTTCCCACAGCGCTGAGAACAAACCCAAGCCCTTAATTTTGCATGTGCTTTTCTCTTTTTTTTTGAAATGGAGTCTTGCTCTATTGCCCAGGCTGGAGTGTAGTAGCATGATCTCAGCCCACTGCAACCTCTGCCTCCCGAGTTCAAGTGATTCTCCTGCCTCGGCCTCCTGAGTAGCTGGGATTACAGGCACATGCCACCACACCTGGCTAATTTTTGTATTTTTTTTTTTAAGTAAGGACCAGGTTTCACCATGTTGGCCAGGGTGGTCTCAACTTCTTGACCTCAAGTGATCTGCCCGCTTCAGCCTCCCAAAGTGTTGGGGTTACAGGCTGCAACCTCTGCCCCCTGGGTCAGCCTCCCAAGTAGCTGGGATTACAGGTGTGCACCACGACACCTGACTAATTTTTTGTGTTGTCAGTAGAGACGGCGTTTTGCCACCATGTTGGCCAGGCTGGTCTTGAACCCCTGACCTCAAGTGATCTGCCCGTCTCAGCCTCCTAAAGTGCTGAGATTACAAGCGTGAGTCACCACGCCCAGCCAAAATTTAAATTTTAAATTAAAGTAATACAATTAAAAATTCAGTTTCTCAGTTCATTAGCCCTGTGGGGCTGGTGGGTACCATATTGGATGGTGCAGATATAGACCTTCCCATCTTCACAGAAAGTTCTACTCCACAGCACTGCTGAAGCCCACTTTCCCTCTTGGCCTTCACACGTCCAGCTCAATCTCATCTTCTTCTCTGGTCAAAGTCATCTCATGGGAGGCTGAGGGAGGAGGATCACTTGAGCCCAGGAGTTTGAGACCAACCTGGAGGCAAAAAAAAGAAATCCCATCTCTATAAAACCTTTTTTTTTTTAATTAACCAGGTGTGGTGGTGCATGCCTGTAGCCTCAGCTATTTGGGAGGCTGAGACAGGAGGATCTCTTGAACCCAGAGGTTTGAGGCTACAGTAAGCTATGGTGGCACCACTGCACTCCAGCCTGGGTGACAAGGGAGACTTTTGTCTAAAAAATAAAAATTAAAATTAAAATCAGCTGGGTGTGGTGGCTCATGCCTGTAATCTCAGCATTTTGGGAGGCCAAGTCGGGCAAACTGCTTGAGCCCGGGAGTTTGAGACCAGCCTGGGCAACATAGTGAAACCTTGTCTCTACAAAAAATGTAAAATTAGTCAAGTGCGGTTTTGCACACCTGTAGACCCAGCTACTTGAGAGGCTGAGGCTGGAGGAACGTTTAAGCCAAGGAAGTTGAGGCTGCAGTGAGCTATGACTGCGCCACTGCACTCTGGCCTAGACAGAGTGAGACTCTGTCTCAAAAAGAAAAAAGAAAAAAAAGTCCTCTCCTCGGAAAGTTCTAGAAAAGCAAAGCCTCAGAAGGAGGGGGGTGGGGAAGTAGTACGGGGCAGCTCAGCCCCAGCTGATCCTGCAAGGGGCTCCAGACGGTGAAGTGCATCATGGAGATGTCTGCACCAGAGGCCCTTTGTACCTGAGTCAGCCAGTCATTGCCTGTGGCCACTGGCAGGGACTCTCCTCCCAGGTGAGATAGCTCTGACTGGCTAAGCAACATAATTCTCTGGAGAAGTACAGACCTGTGGGCCGCTAGCATAGCAGCTGGGGATGGTGCCCTGGTCAGTAACAAAGACTGAGTGAGGCTCTTACCTAGACGAGGCTGGCCCTGTTATCCTGTTTAGGAAAAAATTATAGGGCCGGGAGTGGTGGCTCCTGCCTGTAATCCCAGCACGTTGGGAGGCTGAGACTGGCGGATTGCCTGAGCTCAGGAGTTCGAGACCAGCCTGGGCAACACGGTGAAACCCTGCCTCTACTAAAACACAAAAAAATTAGCTGAGTGTGGTAGCGGGCTTCTGTAATCCCAGCTATTTGGGAGGCTGAGGCAAGAGAATTGCTTGAACCCGGGAGGTGGAGGTTGCCGTGAGCCGAGATTGCACCACTGTACTCCAGCCTGGACGACAGGGTGAGACTCCGTCTCAAAAAAAAAACAGAAAAAATTGTGATAAAGTACGCATAACACAAATTTTATCATCAGTGACATTTGGTACATTCACGGTGTTTGTGCAACCCTCACTACTCTCTAGTTCTATGACATTTTCATCAACCCAAAAGGAAACCCCGTACCCATTAAAGAATCTTCTACATTCTCCCCACCGCCTGACCTTTGGAAGACACCAGTTAACTTTCTGTCTGTGTGGCTTTGCCTATTCTGGACGTTTCCTGTGAATGCAGTCATGCAATATTTGTCCTTTCGTGTCTGACTTCCTTTGTTTAGCATCATGTTTTTCAAGATTCATCCATGTTGTCACAGGTATTAGTATTTCATCACTTTTTTTTTTTCTTTTTTTTGGGACAGAGTTTCGCTCCGTCGGAGTGCAATGGTGTGATCTCAGCTCACTGCAACCTCCGCCTCCCGGGTTCAAGAGCTTCCCGCGCCTCAGCCTCTCAAGTGGATGGGATTACAGGCACGCGCCATCATGCCCGGCTAATTTTTTGTATTTTCAGTGGAGATGGGGTTTCCCCATGTTGGCCAGGCTGGTCCTGAACTCTTGACCTCAAGTGATCCACCTGCCTCGGCTTCCCAAAGTGCTGGAATTACAGACGTGAGCCACCACACCCAGCTGTATTTCATTCCTTTTTATTATAGCTGAATAATCTCCCATTTTGTGGCTTGATTACATTGTGCTTATCTACTCATCCATCCATCCATGGACATTTGAGCTGCTTGCACCTTTTGGCTATCGTGAATAGGGCTGCTGTGAACATTCATGTACACGTTTTGGTTTGAACACCTGTTTTCCATTCTTTTGGGTATATACCCAAGAGCAGGACTGCTGGACTGTATGGTAAGTCTATGTCTAACTTACCAAGGAATCTCCAGGTTGGTCTCCTGTTCCATTTTACCATCCTGTCTTATTTCTTCCTTTGTGTACATTACCCTTGACAGTTCTCTTGTGTATTTACTCGTCTACCTATTCTGCCTCTGCCTTCCCAGGGAGGGCTGATGAGCCTTGCCTGTCTTGCTTGCTGCTGTCAGGCACAGTTCCCAGGGCACAGTGAGTACATCTACCTTGAACCTAATAACCTGTGCCAGGCTGGGCACCATGGCTCATGCTTGTAATCCCAGCACTTTGGGAGGCCAAGGCAGGTGGGTCACTTGAGGTCAGGAGTTCTTGGCCAGCCTGACCAACATGGTGAAACCCTGCCTCTACTAAAAAAAAAATATATATATATATACAAAAATTAGCTGGGCGTTGTGGTGCGTGACTGTAATCCCAGCTACTCGGGAGGCTGAAGCAGAATTGCTTGAACCCGGGAGGTAGAGCTTGCAGTGAACCGAGATCATGCCACTGTACTCCAGCCTGGGCGACACAGTGAGACTCTGTCTCAAAAAATAAACAAATAAAAATAAATGAATAACCTGTGCCTTCTCCTCTTCCCTTACCCCAGGCTGGTTAACGAGGTGTTCACCATCGACGACACCCTGCAGACCCTGAAGCTGCGGCTGCGGGAGACGCAGGACATGCTGCAGCTGCTGGTCATGACCAAGTGCCGGCTAGAGCACGAGCTCGCCATCAAGGCCAACACCCTCTGCATCGACAAGGAGAAGTGCATGGGCATGCGTAAGACCTTCCCCTGCACCCCGCGCCTGGTGGGCCACACCTGAGCACCGCCCTGGCGCCTCCTTCCATGCTGGCATACAATTGGAAAAGGCTGAGAAACAAAGTAAAACAGTATTTTGTTTGGAAGGGGCCGAATTTCTCTTTTTCATACCGATTTGTTATCTGCATTTCTCTCTCTCTCTCTCACTCTCTCTCTCTGTTACCTGTTTGTCACCTTAGGAGCACAGTGTAGACCATGGTGTTTTAAGATTAGACTTGATAGCTCAAAATCTAGAGCCCAGCACTGTCACTTAGGACCTGTGTGGCCTGGAACAAGTTTCTCACCTGTGGTCCTCATCTATGGAATGAGGATAGTCCGAGGTGCGGGGGATTGCCAGCAGTGTGGGGCAGAGAGAAAAAAAAAAAAAAAAAAAACACAAAAAAAACCAGGATTTGGAATCAGAAGTTCTGGGTGTGAATCCCAGCCTTGATAGATGGAGTGTTTGTTTATGTATTTATTTATTTGACATGGAGTTTCACTCTGTCACCCAGGCTGGAGTGCAACGGTGCAATCTCGGCTCACTGCAACTTCCACCTCCTGGGTTCAAGCAGTTCCCCTGCCTCGCTAACTGGGATGACAGGCACCCACCACTACGCCTGGCTAATTTTTGTATTTTTAGTAGAGAGATAGGTTTTCACCATGTTGACCAGGCTGGTCTCAAACTCCTGACCTCAGGTGATCCACACGTCTCAGCCTCCCAAAGTGTTGGGACTACAGGCGTGAGCCACCACGTCTGGCCGATGGAGTATTTTAGAAATAGCTATGGGAGGCCAGGTGTGGTGACTTACACCTGTAATTCCAGCACTTTGGGAGGCCGAGGTGGGTGGATCACTTGAGGCCAGGAGTTCCAGACAAGCCTGGCCAACGTGGGGAAACCACATCTCTACTAAAAATACAAAAATTTGCCAGGTGTGTTGGTGCAAACCTGTAATCCCAGCTACTGGGGAGGCTAAGGTGGGAGAATCGCTTGAACCTGGGAGACGGAGGTTTCAGTGAGCCAAGATTATGCCACTGCACTCCTCAAAAAGTAGTTAAACATAAAACTGCCCTATGACCCAGCAATTTCACTCCTAGGTGTTTACCCAAGAGAAGTAAAAATGATCCTCAAATACTCGTGCACGAATGTTCACAGCAGCACTGATCACATTAGTCAAAGGGTGGAATGACCCAAATGTCTATCCATGGATGGATGGGAAAACAAAGTGTGCTGAATCCATACAAAGGAGTCTGATTTAGCCATAAAATGGAATGAAGCACTCACTGATCCACGGTGCAACGTGGATGAACCTTGAAAACAGGATGCTAAGTGAAAAAAGCTAGACAGAAATCCCACATAGTATATGATTCCATTTATATGAAATGTCCAGAATAGGCAAATCCATAGAAATAGATACGGTTGCTGGGAGAGGGGAACAGGGAGTGACTGCTTAGTGGATGCAGAGTTTTACTTTGGAGTGATGAAAATGTTTTGGAACTAGAGAGAGGTGGTTGCATGACATTGTGAATACACTAAATGCCATAGAATTGTTTGTTTATTTTTGAGTTGGAGTTTCTCTCTGTCACCCAGGCTGGAGTGCAATGCTGCAATCTTGGCTCACTGCAAACCTCCGCCTCCCGGGTTCAAGCGATTCTCCTGCCTCAGCCTCCCAAGTAGCTGGGACTACAGGCGCCCACCACCATGCCCAGCTAATTTTTTGTAATTTTAGTAGAGACGGGGTTTCACTGTGTTAGTCAGGATGGTCTCGATCTCCTCACCTCAAGATCCGCCTGCCTCGGCCTCCCAAAGTGCTGGGATTACAGGCATGAGCCACCGCACCCAGCCAGGCCTCAGTTTCTTAATATATCTCTTCCATAGGGGATTTCACTCCTTCCCCTCTTTTTTTTTTTTTTTTTCTTCTTTTTTGAGATGGAGTTTTGCTCTTGTCACCCAGGCTGGAGCGCAATGGCATAATCTGGGCTCGCTGCAACATCTGCCTCCCTGGGTTCAAGCGATTCTTCTGCCTCAGCTTCCCAAGTAGCTGGAACTACAGATGCACACCACCGTGCCCAGCTAATTTTTTGTATTTTTAGCAGAGATGGGGTTTCACCATGTTGGCCAGGCTGGTCTCCAACTCCTGACCTCAGGCGATCCACCCGCCT